TAACAAACAGAGCGATCCAGTGGTTGTTGTCTAGATTGACAGGAACGTACATACGGTTGACGTCGACATCCCACACTAGTCCTGTTCTTCCATGCGGAGGAAGTTCACCTATCCCGTATTGGTGTAAGACTCCTTCAACCTTAAAGTTTTTCAAGTCATTCATGTGATTCGAATATGAACACTTGATTTGAGAACTGAAAATACATGGCATGAAAGCCACCTTGTCTGCCTTCCACCGTCGCAATGTTGTCCTCTCCCGGAATAAGAATAACATGGCATCAATTTCCTGAAAATTACCAATTAACACTCTACACATGCCCAAAACGATTAACATACAAAGTACAAATTTAAATTGTCTTACAAAGTTTTTTAACCAATCCGTAGGTCCCATTATACGTGCTGACATCTCAGTTGTAAACGTGGAAGGTCCAATCTTAAGTTCTCTAAGAAAAGAAAAAATGTTAGATGGTTTTAAATATTAAAGAGTGAGAAAAGAAAAACTTACTTGGAAGTGAGGGACCATTCAACTAGTTTGGCCCATGATTCCTCGGGAACAAAAACCAAAGAGTAGTCCTTGTCTTTTATTCGGTCCTCTTCTAAATCTACATCGCGTAAGAATGGTCTTGAATTCTTCTTGGGCCTAAATGAAGTCAATGGAGTTACCCATTCCTTTGGGTCTTCAACCTTCACATTTTGGGATGGATCGAATCCTTTCACATATGAATCTTGTGAGAGATTTCCCATTGTCTTCCTTAGAAACTCTTGTGTGCCCAGCTCTAGATCAATGTTAGACGAGAGGGACACATTTACATTATGTAAGTTTCCAAGAAAATCAGACATTTCAACATCGCCTATGTTTTCATCCTGTTAATAAGACAAACCCAAAACGACATCAATTAATACACGTCCAAGAGTAGCATAAATTACAAAGTGGCACAAAATATTACATACTTATGTTGGATGCTAAAACAGAGGATTACAACATGTTACAAAATATTACAAACCAAACTTCATTTCTTGTTTACCTTTCGCTGAGGACGAGGGCTTTTTACTTTCGAAGGAGTAGGACTTGTTGATGCTGGGACATCCT